TTAGTCTTGTTTTCCCTTCATGTGATTTATTTCTTTTAAAAAAATGCCCTGACAAAAGCAACTTAAGGGAGAAAGGGTCTATTTGGCTCACAATTCCAGGTTACAAACCATCATTGTGGGGAAGTTAAGGCTGCAAAAACTTTAAACAGCCAGTCACATTACAACCCCAGTCAAGACCAGAGAGCACTGATTAATGTATGCATGCATATCTCAGTTTACTCTCTCCATTTTATTTAGTCCAGGACCCAACCCATGAAAAAGTGTTGCCTGCATTCAAGGTGGGTATTTCCACCTCTCACAGGCACACAGACAGGCCAACCTGATCTAGACGATCACTTACAGACATGCCCACAGACAAACCTGATCTAGACAATCACTTACAAACATACCCACTGGCCAACCTGATGTAGACAATCACTTAGACATGCCCACAGGCTGACCTGATCTAGACTGTTCTCCATTGAGACCCCCCTTCCCAGGTGTTTCTAAATTGTGTCAAATTGACAAAGCCAATCATCACAAATACTACTCAATCTACTTTAGTTCTATTAAAAATAAGGGGATAAATCCCTTTGCTATACAAAGCTATAATCATATTAATCAGAAGTATATTTTCCTGTTTTTATTTTAGAATAAATGAGAGAAAAATATTTTCCTAACAAAAACAATAAAAAACCTCTATCTTGACTTTGAAGATACCCCATGGAAGGTCTCACCCTCCCTGGGGAGCAGAAAGAGGATAGGATAGAGGGGTTAGTGGGGGTCAGGGAAAGGGAGAGGGAACTGGGATTGACATGTAAAACAGGCTTTTTTTGTTTTTTTGTTTTTTATTTTATTTTAAGAAATTCAATGAAGAAATTGGAATTTTATTCATTAAAATGTACAGCGTATAGTTTCAGGTTATTTCATAAACTGGAGAACCATCCTGAATATCTTACTTTCATTACTTCCTTTCATTTTCACAATGTACAGAGATCTATTTTATTGTCTCCATTCTTACGATGAGGAAACTGGTGTCCAGAGAGGTTAATTTGCTCAATGATAGCTATTAAATAGTCAGACTCGGTCTTAAATTCAGGTATATACAATTCTAAAACCTCTGCTATGACTATCATGTCCTTGCTATTTTAAAGTGTATCTTCACAGAACCAGCCCTACCAGGAATACAGAAAAGGAGCCTCCAGGGTACAGGTCCAGCTAGTGTCTAAGTGGAGTCAAGATCTGTAGGTCCAGAGTTAAACCTGGGAATGAGGAATATCAGCAGGAATCCTACAAGATACCAAACATCAGGCTTATCAGAAAACATTTGAAAGAGCTGTTATGAATCTATGACCAAATATAAGCTACTTGTGGAAGATAGGATGGATTATCTGAGAAGAAATCAGACTGAACTCTAATACCCAAGTGGTTTGATGGGATAATATGTTCTATACAGGCCAGTGATGTGTCTCAGGGGTAAAGACACTTGCCCCCAAACCTGATGATCAGTTTAACCCTGAGAAAACATGGTTGAAGGAGATAACCAATTAACGTAAGTTGTTCTGTGACCTTCAAAATATTCTGTGGCACATGTTCACCACCCTCAAATACACAAATAAATGAAAAAATTAAAGATAGGACATGGATTCAATTCTCTGATGATATGTTTCTACTATGGGAACATGGAAGATTCCACCTGAAAATGAAAAATTACAAAACACAAAGATTGCTTATACTAATGTGTCTTGCAGACACTGATCATGGGACAACTGAAACAGGGCAGTTATAAAAGTCAGTTTCCAAAGTTTATTCAAAATCCATTCCCTTCCAGAAAGCAGAGAGTAAAGTCCCATGGAATTACAAATGGAAAGCTATTTGGTTGAAAGAGAATGGGGCATTACTTTTGAATCACAAATGTTCAGTTTGAATTTTTACTGAAATGTAAAATCCATTTGACCTTGGACAAGTCATGTAAACTGATCTGAGACTCCACTCACATCTCACAAAATGGGGACTAAGCCATACATAGTTTTGCATGACTGTAATCGCATCACTTGGGAGGCTGAAACAGAAGGATGCCCATGAGTCCTGCCTTTGTTACACAGTGAAATTGTATCCTGCAGAACAAGACAGTGTGCTTGGTGGGGGGCCACTATTCTTGCCAAAACAGGCTTGTTTCTAATTTAAATAAAAAAATCTGGAAGAAAAAAAACTCTCTCTCTGTATCTTCCTTAGAAAAATTTTATGTGTATCCCGTATGTATCAAAAATTTAAAAAAACTGATTAGCTACTGGCAAAATTTATTTTAGTTGTTCGAATTCTAATGTTGGAGACAAAATGCCTACAACAGCTGATGCCCCTGGTTTAGCTAGATGTAAGTGGTGGGATTCAGCTCCCACCCCATGGATGAACCAACAGTAGTAACCAGATAAATTAGTCACTTTTGACCAAATACTTGGGGGAAATGTTTAAGGAAGGAAAGATTTATCCTGTCTTGTGTCTCCAGGGGTTCACTCCATTATGAGTAGTTAGAGAGACATAGGTGGGGCAAGAAGAGCCATGGTAGCATACAGGGAAAGTATGGGAGTAGGAGCAGGAAGCTACATGGTAATATTCTATCCACATTCAAAAGGTATAGGGAACAGGAAGTAGGACATAAAACCTCTAGTGACCTACTTCCTCCAGCAAGAATTTACCTCCCAACTGTCCAATAACCTTTCCGAACAGTACCACCAGTTGGAGACAAAGTGTTCAAACACATGGGTCTACAGGAGACAGTCACTATTCGAATACCGGAAATTACCAGGCTCTGCCTATACCACAGCAGCCACTTTCCTGCACAAGCAGGTTTAGGCATAATTTGTAAATATCCCTGTTAATATTCATTCCAACCCTTATAGTTAGAGTCTACTAGGTGACATTTAGGGATTGGGAACTACCTTTTGCAGTAGAAAGCAACAGAAAAAGCTACCAAGTTTGAAGAAACGGTGCTAGAGTGCAATGTCTTTTACTCAGGGAATCCTAGTGTGCCCAGTTGAGTGGTGTGGGTTGGATGTGTTGTTTTTAATTAATTATTTATTTATCCATTTATTATTGTGGTTGTTGTTGGGGGGCAGTGAAAGTAGGTGCATGTGTATCATGCCCCTTTTGTGGAAATTAGAGGGCAGCCCCTTGAGAGTTGGTTCTCTCCTTCTTGGAGTGGATGTTTTTCTAACTTTTCCTTGAAATGTGAAGTATTCCACTTGAAATCTAATACAGCAATTGTTCACTCTTAAATACTGATGTTGATACAGGTGAAGATTATGTTTAGTTGAACAAGAGGGTAGTCATTAAGTGCCTCTACACTGGCATTATTTAACCATAAAGGACCTATCACTAAGTCTAAAATAGACAATGGGATGGATATTGACCACATTTTCCAAGTCATTTTCTATTTTTAGACCCATATATTTATACAGAGGGAAGCTCACCTGTGGTCTGGGACCAAGCAAATTGATCTTCATTGACTTCTGGCTTGTTTGTGAGTCTGACATAATGTTCTGAAACATGAAAACAATTAGATAACATTTTTAATTGTTGATTGAAGTAAGTGTTCATCTTTATGTTAACTTATTTTAACTGCAAGCACCAGGCAAAAAGTCAATGTAGTAAAGAGAGTATCAGAAACTAGACCTTTTACTCCCCAAATAAAAGTCTTTGCTTTTCTAATTTAAATCTCCTGATTTAAATCCTCACTCACTGGAAACCTGTTCCATAATGAACACCTTATTTCTACCTACCTATGAACTTTTTTTTCATGTGTAATTCATACATTCCAAGAAAGCTCAGGTAATTGGAATTTTGGAAAAATACACAACAGAAAATCTATGTAAGGAACAGGATAAATGTTTAGTGTTGATTTTGCTGTCTTTTCTTTCCTGAAGATGCTTATGAGCAGAAATTTTACCTCACTTATTGTACTAGTCATTGTCATCTGAAATAAATTTAAGTGTTAAGGAGTATCAGGCTTTTATTTGCTCCCACATTATTATTTTTCTGTATTACCATGTATTCATTGTACATATTAATGAGTTCAGTATGATGTTTCCACATATATATGATAGTATATACTAACCAGATCCAAACTCCATAGCTTCACACACACACACACACACACACACACACACACACACACACACACACACACACACACACATCTGAATATGAGGGTAGAAAATACAAACATTTTTCTTTCTTCTCACTCTGGTCTTTCACAGTACTCAGACAGCAAGAATGGACAAAACCACTCCTGGCTGATCTGGATAGACAATAATGGTGGAGTGAATTTTGCAGAAGTTCACTGGACACTGTTCCAGAGGAAGCTTCAGTAACCTTGTCACCAATATATGAATCCTGCACTTGACTTGTGTTTTGTGTGAAGTGGATTCAGGATGATAATGTGCAATGAATGCTATGATTATAATAAAACCCTGGATGTTGTCTAATCCTATCTGACCTATATGATACCTATCCTGTCTCCATACAATATTTTCTTCCCCTAGACAGTAACATCTAATCTGTAACTTAGGAAGTGGTACTAGAATAATGCCTTAGGTCCCTTCTGGCTCTCTAATGCCAGATTCTAGCATTCTTGATACAGATCCTTGGGCATTAATTACTACAGTGCTTCATTACCCCCAATGATGTAGTTTTATAAGAATAGCTCTACTGCTTGGAGATGGTGGGGGAGGGATATGTAAAACAAAAGCTTTAGAAGAGCAAGCCTGATGGTGGTCATCATGTTTATAAACATTTTAATGATGCTGATATTCAGAATACATTGGACAAAAAGGATGTTTAGACAATAGTAGCTAATTGACTGACCAAGACAAGGTTGCCAGATTGTTAAACATCTGAAGAGTTATTTGAAAGACAACCTTTGCATATAGACAGAATTAACACAAGCCACCATTGACATGAGCAATGGCAACACAAAGCTGGTATCTTGCAGATACATTGATCCTTCCTTCATTTTCTTCCAGGGATTTCCAGGAAACACAAATGCAGACAGTGTGGTGCAATACAGACTCCAGCCTCCCTTCCATACCAGGTTCCTGCGCTTCCTCCCCTTAGCCTGGAATCCCAAGGGCAGGATTGGGATGCGGATAGAAATATATGGGTGTTCTTATAGTAAGTGATTATTTATTAATCCTCATGTGAAATAAACATCTGTAAGAAATGCTGTAAAATCTGTCAGTTAAAAATTACTTACTTTAGCCTTTTTAATAGTTATATGATTAAAACTGGGTTTTATGAGAAGAGTTCTGTTTTAGACTCCTTATAACAACAAAGTCTTTAATTGTTTTTTTCATAGTTGAATTTAGAGAGGCTGAGGAGACAGCTCAGTGGGCAGTGTTTGATATACAAGAATGGGGGCTTGAGTTCAGAGTCATAGTATTACATAAAAAACAGGTGGGGGAGTGCATGCCTATGAACCTAGTCCTGGACTCAGGAAACAGACACAGATGGGTCTCTGCAGCACACTGACTAGACAGTCCAGCCAACAGATAACCTACAAGTTCAGGAATGAGAATCTATCTCAGTAAATGAGGGGATGAACAATAAAGGGAGACACCTGGCCTTGACCAGTATGCATGGAGCCACCCACCTACATGAACACATATATACAACATGCAGACACACACACACACACACACACACACCACAGAATTTAGAGGTAGACTTAACCCAAAATTTATTTATCTTTAGATTTACAGAGTTTAATAAAGTACTTGTGACATTATAGGCATTCAATTCAATTCAATTCAACTAATGACAGATGACACGAACTTTCTGAAGCTTCCAAGGATAGTGTTCAGCACTGGTGTTTGGAGACTAATTTCTCACATACAGTACTTATAACATCACGTCACAGTACTAACTCTACGTTTCTCTATCAGTGTCACTGTGAAGCCTTTAGCTCCAAAACACACTGTAGCTTCCTTTGATCTTCACTTAATGGGAATTTACATTTCTGTGCCAGCTTCTTTTATCATTTACTAACTGCAATCAAAATAAAAAGAATATGTCTCAAAAAAAGAATGTCACAAACACGAATACAACACAAACATAAAAATCAGTTGGTGAAACTGACATGACTGATTGCTCAGTTGTCACCTGATGATCCCAAATGCAATTGTACTATTTCTTCACATCATCAGCATGGCTTAAAATGTTAAGATGAAACAAAATCTAAAATATGCACATGGGCATTAATAACATTATGAGTATAACTGCACAGAGTTGTTTTTTCTACCACCAGATGACGTTAGTGAGATGCTTGTGCATCTTAACATGTTTGAAAATGGTATGGTTTGGTTTAGAGGAAAAGTCTGAGTCTACCCATAGGCATTACTGTCCACTATCCTTTTCTGCAAAAGTTCAGCATTTTGAGAGGTATTTTCATCTGCCATTATATGGAGCAGCTAAATAAACCCAGAAGTATTCCCATATGCTATCTTATAACACATTTGAACAAGCCCAAAGGTTTTCTGTTCATAATTTTTATTTGGTTATGAGCCACTCTCTAGCCCTCTATTAGACTTTTTCACAATGCAAGTTGAACATATCCACACATTTTCTTGTCCACCATTTTAACTTTTAGATGTTTGTTACATAACCTAGATATAAGCATGCCTAGGATTGTGAGTGCCATCTTTTCTTCTTGAAATATGACTGTAAACTGAGCATGCTCAGGAGTGTGCCGTCTCTTAAAATACCTTTCTATATGAATATGTACAGAATTCTCCAGTGAAATATCCAGGCTTCCTTTGTTCAAGAAGGCATTGATTTGCAAATAACTCGCATCCATTTCTTATCCAATGTAAGTAATCTTTCTGAATACCTTAATTCATTTTTGGTAGTTTTTAAATTAATTTTTATTTAAATTAGAAATAATCTTATTTTACATAACAATCCCAGTTCCCTCTCCTTCTCATCCTCCCATTTCCTCCCACCAACCCTCATCCCAACTCCCATCTATTCTTCAGAGAGAGTGATGCCTCCCATGGGGGATCATCAAAGTCTGTCACATCATTTGGGACAGAACCTAGGCCCTCCCCCCATGTATCTAGGCTGACAGTGTATCCCCCATAGGGAATGGGCTCCCAAAGCCCATTTATGCAGTAGGGATAATTGCTTGTTCCACTGCCAGAGGCCCCATAGACTGCCCAAGCCCCCCCCCCCCCCAACTGACACCTATGTTCAGATGGCCTGGTTCTCCAGATGTCAGTCTAGAGTCTGTGAGCTCTCATTTACTCAGGTCAGCTGTTTCTGTGGGTTTCCTCAGCATGGTGTTGAGCACTACTCCCTCTCTACAACTGGATACCAGGAGTTCAGAACAGTGCTTAGCTGTGAATCTCTGCTTCTACTTCCATCAGCTACTAGATAAAGGCTGTATGATGGTATTTAAGGAAGTCATCAATCTCATTATAGGGGAAAGGCATTTAATGTAGCCTCTCCACTATTGCTTAGATCCTTAGTTGGGGTCATCCTTAGGAATCCCTGGAAATTTCTCTAGTGCCAGATTTCTCTTTAAGCCCATAATGGCTCCCTCTATTAAGATATCTCTTTTCTTGCTTTCCTCTGTTCTTCTTGAAACTTGACCTTCCTGATCCCTCATGTTCTCCTCCTCCCTCCTCTTCTCCCCTCCTCTTTCTCCACCCTCCCTCTCTCCCTCCCTTCATGCTCCCAATTTACTCAGGAGGTCTTGTCCCTTTCCCCTTCCCTGAGGGGTCCAAGTATGTTTCTCTTAGGTTATTCCTTGTTTTCTAGCTTCTCTGGGGTTGTGGATTGTGGGCTGGTTATCCTTCGCTCTATGTCTAATATCCACCTATGAGAGTGTATATACCATGTTTTTCTTTCTGTGTCTGGGTTACCTCACTCCGGATGATTTCTTCTAGTTCCATCCATTTGCCTGTGAATTTCAAGATTTCATTGTTTTTTTCTCACTGAGTAGTACTCCATTGTGTAAATATATTACATTTTCTATATCCAGTTTTTGGTTGAGGGGCATCTAGGTTGCTTCCAGATTCTGGCTAATACAAATAATGCTGCCATGAACATAGTTGAACATATGTCCTTGTGGTATGAATGTGCATCTTTTTGGTATATGCCTAAGAGTGGAATTGCTGGATCTTGACATAGACTGGTTCCAGTTTTTCTGAGAAATCACAATACTTATTTCCAAAGTGACTGTACAAGTTTGCATTCCCACCAGCAAGAGAGGAGTGTCTTTCTTTCTCCACATCCTCTCCAGCATAAACTGTCACTGATGTTTTTTATTTTAGTCATTTTTACAGGTGTAAGATGGTATCTCAGAGCTGTTTTGATTTGTATTTCCCTGATGGCTAAGGATGTTGAGCAATTTCTTAAGTACCTTTCAGTCATTTGAGATTCTTCTATTGAGAATTCTCTATTTAGATCTGTATCCCATTTTTTAATTGGATTATTTGGTGTTTTGTGACTAGCTTCTTGAGTTCTTTGTATAGTTTGGAGATCAAACTATTTATTTGTTTTTACATCCTGACCATAGTTTATCCTCCCTCCTCCCCCCCCCAGTCTGGTAGAGTGCTTACCTAACATACATGACCCTCTGTGTTCTATCTCTAGTACAAGATAATGTACTAGACATAGTGTTACATGAATATAATCCCATCATTTGGGAGGTGGAAGCAGGAAGATCAGAAGTTCAATGTCATTCTCAGCTACATAGTGAGCTTGAAGTCATCCTGGGCTACATGGGACCCTGTCTTGAAAATAAATGAATGAAAGTAAATATAAAATAGACTAAAGGGTTTTAGAAAGATGTATATGAAAACATAGAAGTACAGAAGAACCAAACAGAGTGAATAGAAATACCATAGGCTTTTTAGGATGTACCAGGTTGTATTTCCTTGTCACACTATTAACATGTGATTGCTCCAATTCTCTGATAATCATTGCTTCCATTTTATAAGATGCTAACTTTCCCTTCCATAAAGTATTTTATGTCTATTTTATTACTAGCCCCTAAACAATCCCATTAAACTCCTGATTCTGCCTATTTCTACTATTAATATTTCTATGGAGTGGTAAATAAAATGGTGCTGTTTTACCATCAACTTCTTTTTTCTTCCCCTTGTCTTGAATCTTAAATTGTGCCCACTGTTGCAGTAGCTATGATGTCTAGTATTTAGAATTTCTCTTTGATGCTATAAAATTAGTTTGTCTTCCTATTACTCTGAAACAACTTCAGGGTTATTGACTTCAAAGCACACCATGTTCTTTGATGAGGCTTTTCCTTTATAATAAACTATTTCTCCCATTCCTTGAGTCCAAGGTCAATACCAGAGAGATCAAAGCTATGTGCCTGAACCTAAGAAGGGCCAGTGGACTGGGTGAAGCTGTTATGGAATTTATAGGCACTGGTAGCTTTTGCAAACACAAGCTGTAGGGTGTATGTAACTACTAACAAAAATCTAAAAATGTAAATAGATTATATAACACCACTTAATGAGTAATATTTACCAGTACCAGCCAACTCAAACTAACTTCTGTAGAAAGAGCCTCTAAATTTTCCTTTATTTTCTTATAATTATTGCTCAAATACATTTTGTTTATTTTAACAGTATAAACTTTATTGTTTGTATTAATAAGAACGATGTTTTATATATCTTAATTAGTATTTTCACTGGCCTATTTTTGCTCGAGAACTTTGATTATTATTGTTTAGTGGCAATGTCTTCTTGCAGTTTTATTTTATCTACTTTCTTACATTCCATTAACATTAGTATGTTCACCAACATTCTTGCTCTCTTCATGCATTATGCTTTTATAGATTCTTGGCTTAGCAGAAGCATTTTCTGAACTTCCATTTTCAGATTGGGGCTGGGTTAGGGTAGCAACCAAAATTGTGGCTCCCACTTGCACAATAAAAGGTGGGCATAGATAGGAGACCCTTCTAACACCTCTGTATTGTAGTTTCCAGGTGTCTTTTTGTACTTCACTCATGACATTCTGCAAAATTTAGCATTTATCCATACATCTTTTCTCAGCCTTTTTTCTTGTTTGCTATTTCACTCAGCTTTCCATCTATGTCCACAAGTCTTCAATGGCACTTAAACTCTGGCCACACTTCTGAATCCCTCTTCTCAATTCAGATTTGAGGAGTTCTGCCCTGGCTTACTCTCCATTGAGGAACTCTCCTCCATGACCTGTGAATACTTAGAGTCGATACCCAAAAGGGAATTGTTATTCTCCTGTCTTTTCTAAAATACTATTGTTCTATCTCACAACTCATTGACTCATGCTTGCTCCTGCTTTTTAAATATGTTTTAACTATTTGCTGCTTGAGTGAAGACAGAACAGGACTTCAGTTACTTCTGTTACAGTTCTTTCTTAACATATGATTGCTATCTGTGACACAGTTCTTTACTTTTTACAGAAATTAATGTTTGAGAACCTTTAAACATATCTGCCACCTGCTCTTTTCTGACATTCTTTGAGAGAAGTACAGTGGTACAATAATTGCACCAATAATCTTCAAATGTCATCTCCAAACTCTCTGTCCTCTAACACGAAAAAAAATTAGATAGACATACTTCTGAATAAGATCGAGATTAACAAGGATTGATTGGAGAAAGCCTGAGTAGATTTTGGCTGTTTTGATTTAAGAAAAGCAGAGCACGAGAGAAATACGCCATGCACCAAGGTTCCAGTAGAGGTGTTTTTATTAGGGAAAGGGATCATATAAAGGGAAAATGGAAGTGGGAGACAGGAGCAGCAGGAGAGAGGAGAGAGGAGTAGAGAAGGGGAACAGACAGAGGGAGAGAAAGAAAAAGAGAGATGAGAGGTAGTCAGGACCCCTTTATAAGGAAACATAGTGAATATGCACTATGGTGCTCTTAGTAGCTGCAGCTCAGGGAGTATCCTGTCAGGCCATATGGATGTCTGAATACTATCAATGGCCAGCAAGGAAAGAGACATGTAAATGCAGACACTTATGAATCTCAGTGTCATTAATCAGGTTAATCAGGTTAGTCAGGTGCACCAATGAGATGTGAAAACTGATGATCTCTTACAGAGCTCAAAATGAATTTTTTATCATTGTATGTGCGTGAAGAGAAACAGAGACAGAGTGTGCATATGCATGTGTGTGGCATGCAGAGACCAGATTAACATCAACGTTTTCAGGTCTTCCTCAATCCCTTCTCTATCTTATTTTTTCAGTCCGTGTTTTTTGCTGAGTCAGGAACTCACTGATTCAGCTAGACTTTGTAGCCCACAAGCCTCAGGGATTCTCTTGTCTGCCTCCCTAGTGCCAGGATTGCAGGCATGTGCTGCCACACTTAACTTTTTGAATAGAATCTGGGATCCAAACTCAGGTACTTTTGCTTGCATGGTCCTTATGCTTACTACACTGAGCCATCTCTTCAGGCTGCTACGTTATTATCTTCTCAAAATCCTTGATTTTATAGTGATGCACTAAGACGTAAGGAGAGTTATGCTGTTAAGTAGTAGTACAGGTTCAGTAATCAAAGCTATGACCTCAATTAATCATGATAGTAGATGTAGACTAAATTCGTGTAAAATAAGACCATACCATACTCCCAAACAAGAACTAATTTTTCTCTATTCATTTGGGAACTTACTGATGTTTTTTTGAAACTTTGAATTCATAGTGAAACCATAAGTACCTTTCATTTTCCAGTAGCTCTCCACATTTCTGAATTTATAATTGTTTTCACACAAAGAATTATTTCCTAAATATTTCTGGTAAAATACTGTAATAAATGTGTTATTGAATAGTATTATTTTAGTGCTTTAATACAAACATATAATATCTGTTTGTAATTGATTATGGCTATAAACACTTTTCTTTGCATTTACAAGGGTTTTTAACTTCTAAAAATATGACTCTAAAACTAAGTGAGGAGTGGATTCACTCCTAAATTGCTTCTTATCCTTTGACTTCAAAGCTTGCTCATTGGGTGGGATGATCAAATTTTTGAGAAGATGTGAAAATTAAATTCTTGCCCCACATTGGGGGTGCCATTTTCTCTATCCCAAACATTTTTTTGTTGTTGTTCAGCTTCATTTTATCATGTGCTTACATCACAGATTAGTGTTGAGTATATTTTCTGTTAAATTTGAGGTTTTTGTTAATTCATTTTTATTATAATACACATAATGAACTAAGAGCACAAGATTAAATTTTGAGATACAAGTATTTGCAGTAACTACAAGAAACCCAGTTATTACCAAAAGAACAAGTTTCAAGGTCACTGCTCCAAGACTCTTTTCTTAATAAGGTTTCTTGGTTTTTTTTCTATTTTATTTTACCTGAAGAATAATATTCAAGAATATCCTTATCATGTCTTAGAAAATATTACACTGTTGCAAAGGAATAGCAGTCATGCTGAGAATAAGACAGATTATACAAAGCAACATGTTGAAATAACCCAAGCAAGGCATTTTCAGGAATGACTTTTTGTTAGTAAACTTAAAAAATAAAATAAATCTTCTAAAGAGCACTTTTGAAGACAAAGGAAAATGGGGATATGAGGTTACTAAGATATGAAAATCTTTGCTTAGTTGTTTCAGAGTTTCCTTTGTCTTATTTCCATCTCACAACCACAGATGATGCTATTTGAATTTGACAAGAATTTTACTTCTTAATCATGCATGTAAAATTAACTATATAACAAGGAGTAATTGCTTAGTTTAGATGTACAGTGGGATGTATTCATTATGTGCTCGACATGCTAATCTCTCAAAAGTATACTAACCCAATTTGAGAAAATGTGATTTCTTAATGTTCACATAAAATAAATGAGTGTCATGATTGATCACATTTGCTTTGCATATTTTGGATGAAAGGGTAACTATATATTATTGGTTTTAGTGATATATTGATGAAATCAGTAGAATACATAATATATCTTGTTGACTTAAATCCAACTCTAAGTAGTTTTATATTTTAATTTGTTTTTTTGTTTGTGTAGCTATTTCTTGAACAAATATATTTTTCCAAAGACAATTACTTCTTTCTCTCCTCTTTTAGTTTTGAAAATCATAGTAGGTTTTTCTGGGTAAAATTAGTTTCTTTATCTGTCCACTGTTCAATATTCAACTAATTCTCACAGACATTCTTTGCTATTATTTTTTAAAAACACTTGTTTTGATGAACTGGAATGTTTTGACATTCATAGTTAAACTAAAAGATGCTGTACAAAAGAAATGTCAGAATTATAGTTCTGACAAACTTGTAGCAGGAAAACCCAAAATAGTGCTACTGAAGTGTGCACTCAACAAAGTACTGAGTGATCATGACATCAGGAAATTGTTTGCCCATATTGGTTAAAAGTTCTCTAAAGAGACAGAATCAGTGGTGTGTGTGTGTGTGTGTATGTGTGTGTGTGTGTGTATATATGAATGCATGCTCACTATATTTTTGCCACATATTTTTGATGTTCATCATGTTATATATTACTGTTTACCAATATCCTCTTTCCTAGAATCTGAGGTGGTTTATTTTGATGGACAAAGTTCTCTGCTCTACAAATTTGATAAAGGAGCCATAAGACCGATAAGAGATGTTATTTCCTTTAAATTTAAAGCCATGCAGAGCAGTGGAATTATATTCCATGGTGAAGGACAACATGGGAGTCAAATGATTTTGGAATTAGTCAATGGAAAGCTTGTCTTTTATCTTAGTTCAGGTAAAAAGTATTTATAATTAAACAATCTGTTTAGCTGAAAATATATCTGTTGATACTTGATCTTTTCATCTAAGTAAAGGAACCTTATGAATTGTCATTCAAGCCAGAATGCCTTTGAGGGTTAAAGGAAACACTGCTATAGTTAGTTACCCTGTAATAATGAATACAAAGTAGAAATGTCATAAAGAAATGCAAATGCAAATTTAATATAACTGTTAATAAATGTATATAGCATATAAGTATCTCCAATATAAGATGTGCTTGAATCCAAAGATAGTCCTCACAACTGCCTATAATTCCAGGGGATTCAACTCCTGCTTCTGACCTCCAAAAGCACTCACACATCTACATACCCCTGCACAGATGCAAATGCATGCACATATTTAAAGTTAAATAGAAATACATCTAAAGATCTTATGATGAAGATGAAGAGAAAGTCAGATGGTCCTTGTTTGGAAAGAAAGAATGGATGTAAATTATAGCAATGACTTTTCAAAGGGAAGTATGATTTTTAAAGAACTAACTCAGGCCGGGCGGTGGTGGTGCACGCCTTTAATCCCAGCACTTGGGAGGCAGAGGCAGGCGGATCTCTGTGAATTCGAGGCTGGGCTGGACCGATAGCCTCCAAAACAATACAGAGAAACCCTGTCTCGAAAAACCAAAAAAAAAAAAAAAAAAAAAAAGAACTAACACAGTGTTTTGTTTTTCCTTTGTTTTAGGTGATGGAAACCTGCTCCATGTTAATGCTAAGATGAACTTCACCATAGGCAGCCTTCTGGATGACTGGCACTGGCACTCTGTGCTAATTGACCTCTTCAATGTACATGTGAACTTCACCTTAGACAAACACATCCATCATGTCCTTATGCACAAGGAATCCAGTTACTTGGATCTTAATTTTGAGGTTGTTAGACACTGTATAATTTAAGTAGGATTATAATCTTGAAAGATGCATCTTATACAGAAATACTAATTTGTAGTCATTTAGACCTACAGTGACTAATAACATAGTATTAGATATATCCAGGTAACACTAAACAATGTACTCACTATAATTTATTATTATAGACTCTCTTCCCCATAAGAGGAGGTAATAAGTTATTATGTTAGGATTAGAATTTTTTACAAATTAAGATATTTTGAGGTAGAAACAAATATTATTAAACATAGTTCTTTAAAGTTTCATCATTTGTAAAAATATCATTTCTTGTTTCACTCTGAACAAATTCCTAAGGGTCTTCTTTTATGTTGATATAGTCACAAGGAACTTAACATTACCTAGAGTCACTCTAAGGACTTACATGTACATCAATAGATTTATGACATAATAAGAGAGTCAAATGCTTACACATAAATAATCTCTTAGCTTTTTAAAATGGTTTAGATTTTGTGTAATTTTTACCAACATGTATCTAAATAACACTGCTAAGTAAAATGAAACTTTCTAGTTTCTCACAAGACAGTGTTGCAAGAGTCATAACACATGAGGAAAGCTATGAAATCTAACAGGCAAAATGGTTTTGCCATGTAACAACATCTTCAGAACACCCAGTCCTGTATCATATGACAGTTTGATTGCCTTCACTTACCTATCATGTCAAGACAGTGCTCAGTGCAGTAACTGGTATTTTATGGGCCTTGGACCAAATCTCACATTTTCAAAATTATTGATTAAAGCTGGGTGAGGTATTACAATCTTTAATCACAGCACTTGGCAGGCAGAAGATGGCATATCTGGGCAACTACAGAGCCAGCCCAGTCTACATTTTGAGCTACAGTACAGTCAGGGCTGTATTGGAGAGGCCCTATCACAAACCAACTGATCAAAATAACCTGGGTTTGATTGTTTAAAAGGTTTTTATTGGAACATATGCAAATTCTAAAATAAAATACTAGGGATCTGGAGAGATGACTCAGGGGTTAAAAGCATTTGTTGCTTATCCAGAAGACTGGGGTTGGATTCCTAGAACCTAGAAGGCATCTCACAACTGTCTGTAACTCTAATTCCAGGAGATCCAATGCCCGCTTCTGACTTCTGGGAACACTAGGTATATACTTAGTGCTCAAGTGCACATGTAGGTGAAACATCCATGCTATAAACAAATTTAATGAAAAAAAAGCATTATCTATGACTGCTCTAATGGCACCATGATCTAGCTAAATGATATGAAAGTGACTATTAAGTTCACCAAGCCCCAAGTATTTCCTAGATGGAAAATGGTCAGCTCCTTTAAGTTTACATGCAAGAATAATCACAAACGAGGTTGTCAAAACAAGTCATGACACTAAGATACTTTGTGTGAAATGAGCAAACATGAAAATCTACAGTGAGACAAATAGACTTATTTCAATTAGTACAATATCTGTTCATCAACATGGTTTAAATAAATCATCACAAAATCATAAACAATGTTATTTATTTTTGTTTTTCTTTCTAAGATCAGCTTTGGAGCAATTCTGATACCTGGAGGACATTCTTTGACATTCCCACATAAAAATTTTCATGGATGTTTAGAAAATATTTATTATAATGGAGTGAATATTATTAAATTAGCCAAGAAACATGAACCACAAACCCTAATTAAGGTAAGAGATCTTAAAAGGGAAGGAAAAAGAAAAGTAATTATTACAAATTTTTGCACCTAAGAAATGTTCATAGCTAGAAAGATGGCTCAGTGTGCAGGGTATTACTATGCAAGCATGAGGATCAGAGTTCAGTTTCCTAGCACCCAGGTAAAAGTTGAGTGTGGTGGTACATGCCTATAATCCTAACACTGGGTTATGGAGACAGATAGATCATAGAAGCTCACTGTCCCAGAGGGTACTCAAAATGGCCTAGATCCAGGTTCAGTCACAGACCCTACCTCAGAAAAGTGATTGAGGAAGAAATTTTGACTTCTGGTACCCACATGGACTCTGGGTTAGTGCACCTACATGCACATGTACAGTAGAGAGAGACAGAAGGAAAGATCGAGAGATAGAAAAAAAAGGAGTGGAGAGGGGAGGGAGGGGGAAAAGAAAGGAGGGAGAAAGGGAAAATGGAAGGATGGAAGGAAGAAATAAGGGAAGGTGGGAGGGAGGGAGGGCACAAGGGAGCGAGGGAAGGAGAAAAGGAAAGATGGGAGGAAGGAAGGAAGGAAGGAAGGAAGGAAGGAGGGAGGGAGAGAGAGAGGGAGGGAGGGAGGAAAGGGAGGAAGGAAAGAAGGAAGGAAGGAAGGAAGGGTCTTAGGAATTCTATTGCCTACAATAAAATGGAATGACCAAAAAGCAAAGTGGGGAGGAAAGGGTTTAATGTGATTTACATTTCTGTATCACATAATGATACAAGTTTCTTTGTTCATCACCAAAGAAAGCCAGGGCAGGAACTCAAACAGAGCAGGAACCTGGAGGCCAAAGCTGATGCAGAGGCCATGGAGGGGTGCTGCTTAGCTGCTCCCTGTGGTTTGCTCAGCCTGATTTCTTATAGAATCCAGGACTACCAGCCCAGCGGTGGTCCCACCCACAATGTGCTAGGCTCGCCCACATCTATCACTAATATAAAAAATGGCCTACAAAGTCGATTGCAACCTAGTGTTATGGAAACATTTCCTCAATTGAGGCTCCCTTCTCTCAGATGACTCTAACTTTGCCAAGTTGACATAAAAGTAGTCAACTCAGGGAGGCTGATTCTTTTTAAATCTCTGTCTTATCCAATATTTTCTTTAAAAATCAGTCAATTTTTTAAAGAGCTGCCACATAAGAATTTTATCATGCATTAAAAGTAGAAAATGGGACTGGAGACTTGCTCAGTGGTTAATATCAAATACTCCTCTTGCAGAAGACTCAAGTTTGGTCCCTGGCATACATGGGTGGTTTACAGCCACCTGTCACTTCAGCACCAAAGGATCTGTAACATGATAAATAAATGAATCCAGTGACTGATGTTGGGGTTCAAGCTTCAAGGTGAAAATTAGAAAAGCAAAGTAGCCAGCTGCTACCTCAGGCTAAAAGACATGATACAGGGGCCTCAAACTGCTGCCTCTCTTCAGGATGTCTGGAGAATGAACACCTCATACTTCAGTATGGCTGGAGAATTAGTGCCTCTTCTGAGACCTTGCTTCTGTCTTTTATACTTCCCTAATGTTGGGATTAAAGGTGTGGTCTATAATTCTCTTTTAGACTGATTCACTCTTGTGTAGATCTGGGTGGCCTTGGACTCACAGAGATCCATCTACCTCTTAACTCTGAGTCCTAGGATTGAAGGTGTGTACCACCATCTCCTAGCTTCTGACTGCCTGAATTAAAGGTGTGTGTCTGGCTTCTAATACTTGTGACTGATTTTGCTTTTCTGAATCCTCAGTCAAGCTTTAATAAATCATAAATAATATATTACTACAGGATCAATGCCTCTTGCCTCCATGGGCACCTGCACATCCATACACATAGACACAAATATTATGCATAACTTAATAAAATGAATCTTTAAGCAGAGAGAAAGAGAATATGTGCATGAAAAATAATTGGGAGCAAATCTTCTTCATGAGGTTCAGTTATTTCATTTTAATATGAATTAAAATAACATCCTATTTCTGCAAGGATATCAGAGATCACATGTCTCTGGAGTTAAGGGTATTATTATTCTCAGGACCCCAGTTATTTTGCAATGAAATTCTTTAATGACCTGTTCCATAGCCCATTGGAAATGCTTCCACATACTAAGTCAATAAATTTCTCTACATGTTTTAAAGCTTTAAAATATCTGAGTTTTGAATTATATGTCAAGCTCTTGCTTAGTGTCAACAGATATTAGAGCCAAGTTATTTTTAAAAGTTTATTTTCCTGTTATATGAGTTGGCATATGGGTTACAAGACTAAACTCCGAAGATATCTCTGTCTGTAAGTCAACATTCTACAGAATAAATATATCATTTGGGTATATGAAAAGGGTTAGAATAAACATGAAGTCCATGAAACTTCTAAGGAGAATAGGAAAAATTAATAATAAGACAAGTCTGAAGCTATGAATAGCACCATGCTGAGATGCCCCAAATGACAAAGATCACTGAGATGCATGACAGAATGTGCATTAGTGGAAATGAAGGAATAACAATACAAGGTATGCTCTACAGACAGCAGATACATGGGGCAAGACTAAAAGTAACTGAAAGGGTGGCAAGATGGCTCAACTTTTAGACACTTGCTACACAAGCATGAGGACCTGAGTTTGAGCCCTGCATCCCACATGGCAGCAGTCAATTAACTCATGCATATTGTTCTCTGACTTCTACATAAATGCCACTGTGGCACGTGTATGCCATAACTAAAATAAGGAAATAAATAAAAACGTCTCTAGACTATCAAATAAAAAATAAAAGCCATATCTATAAAAAAGTTCTATTATTTTGAATTTTTCATGGATTTATTGATAGTATTATTAATTATAGACAATCAGAAGAATCGTAATTGTCCTAACATCTCCTCTGTCCTAAATGTCACTGAGGGGAAAAAAGTGATTTACCAAATACATTGTATGAGTTTTACATGAAAGCAAATAAGAAGAGAATTCTTTCCACTTGCACAGGAGACTATAAATGTTAAATTAAGAATTCTAGTCTAAGAACGATCCCATTTTATGTATTAATTATGAAAGTAGACAGTTGCTTCAACATTTAAAAGGAAAACATTTTGCAGTTTGGCAAAATCAGTTACTGGTATTGGCTTATTTGATGAATGATTATTGATTCAAGACAAGAAGATTCCCTTCTTTGTTGTAGCAGACAGCTACCCATCTGAACAATGAGACTCCCTGGTCCATAACAATTAAGACTCAGTAAATGAGAATCAGATCCATGGTACTGTGAAGTCAAAGAAAAAAATGGGCAGAGCCTGGATTTGACATAATGCAATTTATTGTGGGACATGCTAAGAGAAACATGGTTATGGGCAAGGGTAAGACCAAATGGGTCATGAAAGTTGAGTCAGAAAGAGAAGAGCATATACTGGTTAGGACAGAGTGATCTAATCCCAGTCACGACACACTTCATTAATCTTGTATCAAAGATACAGGCACACTGTGAACAATGGTGGTCTTGACTGCTATATATATAGCTGTATGTACTACTGTATTGACTTTATACGTATATAGCTTGCTGGGAATTATTCGGGATTACTCTAGATATATCATAACTGCTATATCTCAAGACAGCTGAAGTTCTTTCAAACTCAATCCATACAGTCAAGATATCTACAGCTAGTTTAAAAGACTAAAAATTAGTAGTCAAATGATTAAATGTATACCATGGAGAAGTACCTCTTACTTTTAATCAGGCAACCAGGTTTGTTGGTGTCTTTAACTACTGAATTATCTCACTAGCTCACAGCTGGATTAAAGAAAAAAACTAAAAATGAATTTTCTTATGGTTATGCACATATACAATTATAATAAATATAATATAAATTAAACAATATTTGGAAGTGAAAATTCAGTTATGTTAGTCACTAAGTTACATTAGGAAAACTTTTTAAATATAATCCTGTCTTTAAAAGCTTGATATCTTTGTGTTAATGTTCTTAACCTTGCCTTTAACTTGAAGGGACAGAAAATTAATAAAATTATAGCCAAGTCCACCCCTGGAGACTATAATTTAATTGGTTAGATTGTAGATTTTAGCAGTGTGTTGGTGAATCAACTGTTCAGCAGAGTCTGAACCACTATGCTAACCCTGGCTTATCTATCTTGAATTAATAAAACTTTTTCTCTGGAGCCATATTTAGTGCATTGGTAGAAGCAATTCAAAGACTATCCCAATTAGAATCAGAATTGCTGTAGTTTTTTACTCTGGAACTGAAATTCATAGTATGAGTTAATACCAAGAGTGTGTTCTTTATTCCACCTAAAATTAAAACCAAAAGTAAATACATAAGAAAAACAATAATGTGGCCCTTACTAGATATTAAAAGATGCTAAAAAAGTTACTTGTTAGAATCATCATGTGGTTGGATAGGAATTGTGTAGAAGAAAGAGATCCCAGTACATGCACAAGTCATCGAAATCTTTCCAAACACTAAAAAAGGTAACCCATAGAAATCTCAAATAAGAGTGTGCTAAAGATGTAATCAGATCTTTCATTGGTGACAACACCAATGAAACTCTGGAGCTTGTATAAAACAGACTGCGAGGAACAAATAATGCTCAGAAAGTTGGTCTAAGAATGGTATGTCCTGTTCACCATTGGAGTTTCAAGCCTAGCAGAGGGACTGTAAAATAAAATAACAATAGAACAAACTGTTACTGAATTAGCATAGATAGCCTTCGCAATCACTGACAAATAGGAAAATGGAGAATTTCACCAAAAAGCCATGGGAATAGTCTGACCTGATGACAGCAATACAACACTAAAAGATAAATTTAATAGATTTAAGCTTTATAATGTACAAATTCAGGTATTTTGTAAAATCCCTGTGTACAACTTTGCCAAGTCTATCTTTATTGGGGCAGAATCATCACTATGAGGCTTTTCAACCTACCCTTTTGTTTTATTTATAGGGAAATGTGTCTTTCATGTGCCCACAACCACAGACAGTTCCAGTAACTTTTCTGAGTTCTAAGAGCTATCTGGCTTTGCCAGTCAGTTTAAAGGAAGATAAAATGTCCCTCGCTTTTCAGTTTCGGACTTGGAACAAGGCAGGATGTGTGCTTTTTAGCGAACTGGGACATGGTTCAGGAAGTTTGATCCTCTTTCTTAAGGATGGAAAACTCGTGCTGAGCCTCTCCAAGCCAGGACAGCCCTTGCAGACCATCACAGCAGGTAATATGTAACCCTAAACCTCACAAACAATCAAGAGCTCTTAGAGTCATTCTGTAGAATCAATAAGGGGTGGAATAAGATGTATGATGTTCCTATTTGAAGAGGCTTTGACCTATCCTCTTCAGATTACTCAGGACTATTTTTATATGTGTCATGCAACCACTACAGTAGTAATATTTTGACTCAGATACAAAAATAAAAAAGTACATATTTCTGCCAGTATAAACACTGAACTGAACTCCTGAAATCCAGTTGCAGAGACAGAGGAGTAATGAGCAAAGAGGGCAAAACCAGGCTGGAGAAACCCACAGAAACAGCTGACCTGAACAAGGGGGAGCTCATGGACCCCAGACTGATAGCTGGGAAACCAGCATAGGACCTACCCAGACCCCTGAACGTGGATGTCAGTTAGGGGGCCTGGGTAATCTATGGGGTCTCTGGCAGTAGAACAGTATTTATCCCTAGTATATGAACGGACTTTGGGAGACCATTCCACATATAGCGATACTTTCACAGCCTAGACACATGGGGGAGGGCCTATGTCCTGCTACAAATGATATGACAGACTTTGAAGATCTCCCATGGAAGACCTCACCCTCCCTGGGGAGCAGAAAGAGGATAGGATAGGGAGTTTGTTGGTGGGGGGCAGTGGAGGAGGGAAGGGAGAGGGAACTGGAATTGACATGTAAAACAAGCTTTTTTCTAATTTAAATTTTTAAAATTGAAAAAAAAATAAATGATAGAAGGCTAGATAATCCAACAATGACCTTGTTTACCCTGGAGAAGCAGAAACCAAGTACCCGTTGTGTCTAAGAAGCTAAAAGTGTCCATAATCCCTGACATGAAGGCACAGAAGCTCCCTAGAGGGTTGCTAACATGTAGTCCATGTTGAAAGGTAGAAGCTGTAGTTTGATATTTAAGTGCAAGGGCACCAGGGAACAGAAGCAAGTATGGAACTCAAATGTGCAAGCAAGCTTCTTCACCCTTTATCTCTCTCTATTCCCCTTCAGCTCATTAATTGTGATACCCATATTCAGAGAGAGTCTCCTACCACTATCTTACATGTCAATCCTCTCTAGATATGACCCCACATATATAACCAGAAGTTCACTTCACCATTCGTAGGCATTTCTCAAGCTGGTCAAGTTGATAACTTTCTTTCCCTGTTGTGATAAAATACATTGGTAAAAAGCAACTGAAAAGAGAAAGAACTCACATTGTCAAATTGTTCATCATTGCAAAAATCAAGGTGGAAGGAGCTAATTTAATTGCATCCACAATGAGGAGCAGACAGCAATGAATTACTACATGCATACTAATACTCACTTCTCATTTTCTTTCAGCCCAGCCCATGAAATAGTGCCACCAACATTCAGGGTGGGCATACTCATCTAAACAGAGTAATAAAATCCCTCACATGCATTACCATAGTCCAACCTGAACTATTCAAGTTCCCATTGAGACTCTTTTCTCAGGTGATTCTAGATTGTGTCAAGTTGAAAGTTTAAACTAACTTTCACAAGCACCAACACCAACCATCACAAACACAGCACCAGGATAGAACCTGAGCTATTCAATTTCATGCCCTTCTGGTTGAAAGTCACAGGACTTCTTTCAGTCTCTGCTGTCTTCACTTATGAAGTGTTAAACCTTAGGTCTTCTTTACAGAGAATGCAGGAAAGGAAATACAATGTTATTAGTGGGATGGCTACTCTCATACAAACCTTTTCCACTCACATCTCTCATCAAGGCTTCATTTTTATTGGGCAGATTCTCTGCCTGCTAGTTTAGGAGCTCAAATTCACATGACACAGAATGGTATGCACAAGCTTGACAACTACAGAGTTGATTGAAACTTCTGATTGGCTATGCAAATTTAGAACAAGATCTAAAACTCATGCCAAAATTGTCATCAAAACCACATAAGAGCTTCTCTTAGAATATTTTATATCAAAACAAAATGAGAGGTTTTCTTACACTAGTTTAAGAAAGAAGAGGCAGACATATTGCTCAAGAGTAGATGGTTGTCATGCCCTTAAAAAGATATTTCTTTTGGCTAAAGGTTCACTTGACTAGAATATTGTTGACTATTGCTTATCAAAATAGCATTTTAAGACCTATGAAGACCAGTTCAGAGAGTTGGGACTTGTTTCAAATTCATTACTTCTCAAATAATTCAACAAGTCTAGATGTGAGAATCAGTATCTACCCACCTCAGAATACAAGTAAATGATGCAAGAAAAAACTGACACTGTTCTCTCTCTCTCTCTCTCTCTCTCTCTCTCTCTCTCTCTCTCTCTCTCTCTCTCTCTCTCTCTCTCTTTCTCTCTCTCTCTTTCTCTCTCTCTCTCCCTCTCTCTTTCTCTTTCTCTCTCTGAGATCTACTCCTTTATGTGTTTAAGACAATTGCTTCCCTTTATGAATATAGACCCAATAATCCTTAACAATAAACCACTAAAACAACACAAAAAAAGATTAAACACAAGGATCAAATGGATTTTACTCCAGAAATTCAAGACTGAGTATCATATCAAAACCAGTCAACATGATGCAATATTAGTGCCATACAATGTCAACAAAATAAAAGAAAAATCCAAATGGTTAGTTATCTCAGTAAATTCAAAAAGGCATTTTCCCATATCCACAGTCTTTCATGATTTAAAAAGGAAAAGAACTCAAAAACGTAATAATATGAAGAAATTTCCTCAGTGTAGATCAGAGACCCAAGTTTCAGAGCCAATACTATGAAACTATTTATAGTAAGCACACATAAATATGCATGACTTTGGATTAGACACTGGTTTCTCAGACAGGATACCTAAGCACAAGGCAAGAAAAAACAAATAGATAAATTAGATTTTTAAAACTATTTGTGCTTCAAAGCACACAACCAAACCAAATAGGAGATTATATATATAATCAGTGACAATGCAATAAAAAAATAATAAAAAGTTTTAGAACTACACAAAACTTTTAACTTATCTCAAGAAGATATAGGGATGAGCAATAACATCATGTGGTTGGCCATAAGAAACAAAATGGAAAGTGAGCATGGAAGAATCAGCTTGTGCACATATTGATGATGGTGTCATGGTTAGTGTTCATTGGCCACTTGATAGTGTAACACAAATAATTAAAACCCAGAAACAGATATTAGGGTTCAAGCTTCAAACTGATGAACAGCGAAGCAAAGCAGCCAAGCCAGTAGCTCTTAGCTCTTCCCAGGCTGAAGCAATCCTGCTCAGACTGAATATCTACTCATATATTATATACCTCTCTAGAGCTGGGATTAAAGGTATAGCATCTCAAGTGCTGAGATCTCCTTTGTGTGATCTGTTTCTCTTTTAGACTGGCTCCAAAAATCCTTTCTCCTCTTCTGCAGGATCCCCCTAACTCCATCTAATGTTTGGCTGTAGGTCTGCATCAGCTTCCATTAGTTACTGGGTAATGCCTCTCTGATGACAATTGAGATAGGCACCATTCTGGTCACAGGAGATGACCAGATCAGGCTACATATTCGCTATTTCTGGATGTCTAAATGAAGGTCTTCTTTGAAGATTCCTGGGAGATTTCTATTGTACCAAGTTTTACCTGACTCTGAAATGCACCCCCACACTGCAACACTTTCAATAGTCTCTTTCAATACTCTTCCCGCTCTGCCCCCAAAACCTGATCACTCCTGTTACCATCCTGACCCTCCCTGAGTCCACTCACAAAACTTTTATTCCTCCTTCCCAGGGACATCTGGGTGTACACCATGAACACTCCTTGTTACCTAGCCTCTCTGGGACTGTGGATTGCAGCATGTCTATCATTTATTTTACAGCTAATATCCACTTATGTATGGGTATATACCATGTTTGTCTTTCTCCATCTGGGTTATTTCACTCAGGATGATTTTTTTCTAGTCCCATCAATTTGCCTTCAGATTTCCAGGTGTCCTTGCTTTTAACAGCTGAGTAACATTCCATTGTGTAAATGTACCACATTTTCTTTATCCCTATCTCAGTTGATGAACAACTAGGTTGTTTCCAGGCTCTGGCTATTACAAATAAAGTTGCTATGAACATAGTTGAGCAAGCGTTCTTGTTGTTTGATTGAGCATTCTTTGAGTATAAGCCCAAGAGTGGTATAGCTGTGTCTTGTGGTATAATTTGATTCCCAGTTTTCTGAGAAACTGCCACACTGATTCCAAAGTGGCTGTGCAAGTTTGCACTCCCACCAGCAATGGAGAAGTGTTCCTTTTGCTCCACATCCTTTCTGGCATGAGCTGTTGCTTGTATTTTTGAGCTTAGCCATTCTGACAGGTATAAAATGGTATCTCAGAGTTGTTCTGATTTGCATTTCCCTGATGTTTAAAAATATTGAACATCTCCTTAAGTGTTTTGGGGCCATTCGAGATTCTTGAGAATTCTCTGTTTAGATCTGTACCCCATTTTTAAATTGGATTATTTAATTTGTTAATATCTAGTTTCTTGAGTTCTTTATATATTTTGGAAACCAGCACTCTGTCAGATGTGGGGTTAGTGAGGATCTTTTCCCATTATGTAGGCTGCTGTTTTGTCCTATTGACAGTGTCCTTTGCCTTAGAAAAACTTCTCAGTTTCATGACATCCCATTTATTGTCGATCTTAGTGCCTGTGCTATTGGTGTTCTGTTCAGGAAGTAGTCTCCTCTGCCAATGCATTTGAGATTATTGCCCACTTTGTCTTCTATCAGGTTCAGTGTATCTGGACTTATATTGAGATCTTTGATCATCTTGAACTTGAGTTTTGTACAGAGTAATAGATATGGATAGACTTGTATTCTCCTATATGCCTACTTCCAGTTAGACCAGCATATTTTTTAAGATGCTTTCTTTTTTGTTGTATAAATTTTGCTTCTTTGTTGAAAATCAGGTGTTCATAGGTATGTGGATTTACATCTGGATCTTTGTTTCAATTCCATTGGTCCACTTGTCTGTTTTTAATACCAGTACCGAGTGGTTTTTATTACTATAGTTCTTTAATAAAGATGGTGATATCAAGGATGGTGATACTTTTAGAAGTTCTTTTATTGTACAAGATTATTTTAGCTATCCTGGGCTTTCTAGTCTTCCATATGAAGTTGAGTATTACTCTTTCAAGGTCTGTAAAGAATTATATTGAGATTTTTAATGGGAATTGCATTGAATGTGTAGATTGCTTTTGAAAAAAATGGATACTTTTCCTATGTTAATCCTACCAATCCATGAGCATGAGAGATCTTTCCATCTTCTGATATCTTCTTCTATTTCTTTCTTCAAAGACTTGAAGTTCTTGGCATACATGTCTTTCACTTGCTTGGTTAGAGTTACACCATGGCAGTTTATATTGTTTGAGGCTATTGCAAAGGGTGTTGATTCTTTGATTTCTTTCTCAGCCCATTTATCATTTACATATAGGAGGGCCATTGGTTTTTCGGTTTTTTGAAATTAATCTTGTATCCATCCATTTTACTAAAGGTATTTAGTAAATACCTTTACTAAAGTTAGGATGGGAACTCTGCTGTAAGAGTTCCCTGGTAGAGCTTTTGGGGTTCCCTATATATACTATCATATCATCTATGAATAATGATACTTTGACTTCTTCCTTCAAAATTTATATCCCCTTGATCTCATTTAGTTGTCTTATTGCTATAGCTAGAACTTCAATACTATATTTAAGAGGCATAGAGAGAGTGGATAACCTTGTCTTATTCCTGATTTTAGCAGAATTGCTTTGAGATTCTTTCCACTTAATTTGTTGTTGGCAATCAGCTTGCTGTATATTGCTTTTATTATGTTTAGGTATGACCCTTGTATCCCTGATCTCTCCAAGACTTTTATCGTTAAAGGGTGCTGGATTTGCAACATCTAACAAGATAGTCATGTGGGTATTTTTTCTTTCAGTTTGTTTATATGGAGGATTATATTGACAGATTTTCATATGTTGAACCATCCCTGCATCTCTAGGATGAAGCCTATTTGGTCATGGTGGATTCAGTTTGCTATTATTTTAAGTATTTTTACATCAATGTTTATTAGTGAAATTGGTCTGCAATTCTCTTTCTTTATTAAGTCTCTATGTGGCTTAGGTACCAGGGTAACTGTGACCTCATGGAAAGAATTTGGCAATGTTCCTTCTGTTTCTATTTTGTGGAATAATTTGAAGAGTATTTGTATTAACTCTTCTTTGAAAGTCTTGTAGAATTTTGCATTAGAACCATCTGGCCTTGGGCTTTTTGTTGTTGTTGTTGTGAGATTTTAATGACTACTTCTATTTCCTTAGGAGTTATTGATCTATTTAAATTATTTATCTGATCTTGTTTTAACTTTGGTAAGAGATATCCATTTAGAAATTTGTCCATTTCTTAGATTTTCCAATACTATGGAGTACTGTTTTCTCTTCAATAGTATCCAACCCAATCAAGAATAAAATGTTGAGTTATAGACATAAGTAGATTTATGATAAACATTTTGTTGAATTCATTAATCAGTGAAGGAACAGGTATTGGAGAATCAAAGATAAAATCACCTGCTTATTCAGTGAATCCCCTTCACAGGGTAGAAAATAATGAAATAGTTTTATTACTAGATATGTATTAACTGAGAATGTAAGATATCTCAGATAATTGCTAATGAGATCACAGAGAAAGGAAGTTATCTCATTCTTTTTTAGAGAGATTTTTTCTTGTGTCTGTGTGTATGTGTGTGTGTGTGTGTGTCCATGTGTGCATGATGTGTGTATAGGTATCCTAAGAAGCCAGAAAATGGCATTGTATCCCTAGGAGCTGGAGTTACAAGCAGTTGTCAACTGTGGCACATTGATACTGGGAATCAAGCCCGGATCTTCTGGAAGAAAAGTAAATACTTTTAACACTTGAGCTATCTCTCCATACCCAACATCACTTCCTTTGATGTAAAAGCAGAATTAGCCCATTGTATACATATCCTCAAGACAAAAAGTTGTCTTCAAGCAGACTTTCATAATACTAATTTCAACCCAGGTCCACCCTAAATTTCTCTACTGGTTTGCCTTTGTCCAAAGGAAAACCAAAAGTCTAAAACTCGTTTGACAAACAGATAGTTACAACTCCACCTAAGTTAACGTACCACAGAGAGATATGCCAACTTCTTTGATGTCTGTATTTCAAACAAATTTCTCCAAGGAGACATTGGGAAGATGTATGTGCTTGTTTTACATTTATGTTTACATCTTTGTACACTAGTAAAACCAGTGCAAAAGACAATTCATAGGTATTATACACTTCTAGTCCAAAAATGCTTAAATGAAATTACAAATCATTGCAAACTCAGCACAGATCTGATCATTCAAAGGAAAAGGAGAATTTCACTGTATAGGGTGCATTGGCTGTGGATGAGATGCATCATTACCTGCTTTCTACAGATTTACTTCAATCACTTTAGCTTATTGAAAAGGAATTTTGTCAAAGAAAAAGGTTCATATCCTAATACAATCAGATTAACCCTTCCTTACAAAAAACAGATAACCAGAAGTCTCATTGATCCATTTTGAAGACTTTTTTTTACAGTAGTTATTAGTGATGTATTTTATGTATTTTTGGTTTAACGAAGTACTGAGCAAGCATTTTCTGCATTTCTGGTTTATAAAATAATTTTAATTAAATCGAATAAATATCTTAAATCAACCAACATTTTCCTTTAGTTCATATAGCCTTGTGAGAGTGATATTTTGTCTATGAATATAAAATGTTATAGTTCTTGGCAAAGGGGCATATGAAAACAAGTTTAAAACATGTATCTATACTACAAACAATGGCTTAATTAATTAATAGTTTCTAATTTAAATGTTCATAGATTATACTGAATCTGATTTTCTTTAGTATAAAGAGTAGCATATAGAAATGGTTCAGCTATAAGGGGTTTTTGCTGTTTTTCCAGATGGCTTAAATTTAGTCCTCAACATTCATGTGAAAGGGTTCATAACTGCCTGTTACTCCAGCTTCAGGCCTCCACAACCCAAACACAGGGCATGCACGCACACACACACACACACACACACACACACACACACACACACACACACATACACACACACACACACTAAATCTTAAAAAGTAAATAAAATAATAAATAATGATGTTTTAAAATAAGTGCAGTAAGACCTATCCATCATACTGTGTTCATTCATACAACACACTTGAACTACTAATACATGAATAAATCTTATTAATTAATGACTAAATCAGCAAGATGTTACAGTCAGTTAAAAGAAAAATTCAAAGCACTATGCATATTGACAGATAAGTAATTCAGAAATGAATTTATAGACAGATATAAATCAGTTCCCCAACCAATTGTATCTTAACAGGCATAATAATTTCCATTTGTATGGACAAAAATCACTTTGCCTTTCTGTCAGTTTTCTGTAATTAACAGACATGAAATAGCTTGCTTGATGAAAGGCACAGTGCTTGCCTGAACGCCATCCCCCCTTCCTCCCACCATGAGCAGCTCAGTGACCTTTCTCTCCCATTCAAAACCCGACACAATTGTCCTTGACTCAAGTTTTAAAATTCATTCTTCTAATTCTTCAAAGTAATTTATTTCTGTTAGATTCTGTGAAGCCAGTAAATTTTGCATTTGAGGACTAAACTAAAGTGCATTTTAAACTCCATTGGTAAGGACTTTTAAATTTAAGGTGAGGCTTTAAATGAATTATTACCCTTTTCTGAAAGGATTTTTTAGAGGAGGCAATGTATTCCTTGGGCATTGCCATAATAAATTAATCCATCTCATTGCAGAATGTTACGATAACTCTTCCTGCCAGCATGGTCCCAAAGTCGTGTCAACCCCAAATAACACATGAGACACTATATTAATTATAAAGCTGTTGGCCTTTAGCTATAGTTTCTTAATGGCTAGCTCTGACTTAATTATTGACCCATAACCACTAATCTATATATTTTTCAAGGACTTATCTTACCGAGGATACCAGCCTCATGCATCCTCTCTTCCTCGGATCACATGATGACCCTCTATTCTTTACTACATTTCCCAGAATTCTCCTCGACTCATAGTCCCACCCATCTTGCTTTTCTATTGGCCAACAGTGCTTTTTTATCAACCAATAAGACAAACATATAGACAGAAGGACTTCCCCCATCAGCAGAAAAAAATGGCTAATTTCTTTTCCACAGTAATCTATCTGCCCATAAATCGTGCTTTTCTGTTACTTATTGAGTGATTTGAATAAGTGACTACGTTTTCCAAAATTTAGTTGTCTGTAATTAGTTGTTTTTCTAGGTGCTGTACTGAATGATGGGCTGTGGCACTCAGTTTTCTTGTCTGCTAAGGGGAGCCATCTAAGCCTTGTGGTAGATGACAACTCCTCTGCTCAAACTCTGGTGTCTGTGTGGATTCATTCAGGTGATACTTACTATTTTGGAGGTAAGTGAAGACAGCAGGCCATTTGATCTTCACTGCCTTTCACCATAGATCTCTTATCATACTTAAATCAACTGAATACTAAGAAATAATTTCTTTCTTTCTTCTATAGGTGAATTTGTTTTTTTAGAACAGAAATATTCTTATTTCCAATACTATAAGGAACATCTGTAGAAAGCTTAGTTTGCTATGTCAATATTTCTTAATTCTACTTAATATTAAAAGAAACTACATTATAGCTCACATGAAATTTCTCAAATGTCAAATACTATAATATAATTAACAAGCAGATAATGTTATACATCTAAAGTTAGATGGTCAAATGATGGGGGAAGTCCTTCCGTGTACATGTTGTCTTATTGGTTGATAAATAAGGCATGGTTGGCCAATAGGGAAGCAAGATAGGTGGGGCTAGGAGCTGAGGAGGATTCTGGGAAATGTAGTCAAGAGTAGAGAGTCACCATGTGATCCCAGGAGGAGAGGGTGCAAGTCTGGCATTCTCAGTAAGATGAGACCATGGGGGGAAATAAAGAAAAAATATATATATATTAGAGTTATGGGTTAATAATTAAGTCAGAGCTAGCCAGCAAGAAACCATAGCAAACGACCAACAGTTTCATAATTAATATAGTGTCTCATGAGTTATTAGGGGCTGACTGGAAAGAGTACATGTTACATGTCAAACAAATCATATTGTCCAAAGTCATTGTCTTACATGAAATCTTATGATAGATACAATCACTTTCACATTATAGCCCTGTCCATGGGCATGGGAAGTGCCTTTTCATCTACCAGTATTTTCTTCTAATTTAATTGTTCCATTGTTTAGGGTTTACTATTGCAGAAGTCTTTCACATCCTTGATTAGATTTAAGTTTATTTGTGTGTATTTTTAAAGCCACTATGAATGAAATTTTTTCCTAATTGCTTTCTTAGCCAATTTATTATTGGTATATGTAATTGCATATTGGTTCTTAAAATGTTGACTTGATATCATGCTGCTTTTCTGAATGTGTCATGTCTAAGTGTTTTCTGGCAGGGTCTTTGAGGCAAATGATCATATAATCTTAAAATAGGGAAATTCTGACATCCTCCTTTCCTGTTGTAGCTATTTTCTTTCTATTATTTTATTCCTCTTCAAGACATCAAGCAATGTATTGAATAAAAGCCGAGAAACTAGGCATCCTTGTTTTGTTCCAGAATTTAGAGTAAATGCTTTCAGCTTTTCTACATTTATTGAAATATCCAGATGCTTGATGTAAATTAGTGGTTCTCAACCTGTGGGTCATAACCCCTTTGGAGTTAAACTATCCTTTCACAAGGATTGAATATCAGATATCCTGCATGTCAGCTATTTACATTACAATTCATAATAGAAATAAAATTGCAGTTATGAAGTGGCAACAAAATAATTTTATAGTTGGGGCTCATCACAAGAAAAACTATATTAAAGGGTTGCAGTACTGGAAGTTTGAGAACTACTGATTTAGAAAGACACCTCATGTTATCCTGAAGATGTCTTTCAATTGAAAGCCACATTAAAATGGTTAGTTTTGCTTTCCTTAAATATAGTAGGCATTTTTATCCTTTTCTTCACTTGGTAGTATATGAATTAAAGTGCTATCATTAAGGTTACATATTGCAGCTCAGTAGAAGGTGGCAACATATTCAAGCCACCAGATTTTTGTATATTGGGACTAAATGGGATAATATTGCTTAATTTAAACTGCTTACACCCTTGCTCATGTATGTGGGCATGCTCTGTGTGTGTGTGTGTGTGTGTGTGTGTGTGTGTGTGTGTGTGTTACTGTATTTGAGCCTAAAACATTGCTCTACAACTGAGTTACAGCCTCAGACTTCTTTTTTTTACTTTTACTTTAAAACAATATCTCATTAAGTTGCCCAAGATGGCCTTACACTCACTGTTCATCTCAGGTAGACCTTGAACTTATAATCAGTGTCCTGAATGTCTGGTATTGTCTGGGATTAAAGGCCTGTTCCACAAGGTACCGTTATGTGTCATTTGATGTTCATGCTTCTTATATAAATACTGCACTTCCAAAAACTCATATAATAAAAAGAAACTGTGTCACAAGTATTGGTATTTGTAACTCAACAGAAACTGATTTGATGAGTGTGATAAAACTTAATATTTTACTTATAGTATCAGAAATAACCAAGTATCTGTTTTATTTCTTTATATTCATGGAATATTCCATACTGTTGACTTTTATTTACTACCATGTATTCTAACCATGTGGTACCTCGTGGTATTTTTGGTGTTAAATTACAATACAGTTTTTGATTAACACATGATTAAAGCAACTGATTTTAAAAATGAATAGAAGGCCAAAATAATATTTCTATCAAGTCAGAAAACAATATGTTTTTTAAATAGTTTCAAATGCACATAAACCATAACATAAAAAACACAACTTGGTGGATATTTAACATGTTTTAGATAAATTAAACATGTTTTAAAGTACCCAGCTGCATTTTATAGATCGTATTTTTCATGATTCAGGAAATAATCATCTCTTAAATTAAGGGTGACCTCTGATTTAAACTATTATAATTTTACCTCCATTTTCATTTCTTTCACATATACAAAATGATGCTAAAATTTATTAATATTTTTTACAAGATTTAAAAAAGAAGTCAAACTGCACTTGGATGTACAACAGTTCTGGCTATGCAAATTGTTAATTTAATTTTTATCTTAATTTATTCCTGTTTTTAAAACCCTCGATTCTAGTATTATTTTACTTTTGATCAGTTTTAATTTGTGTCCTTAGATTACCCCCTCTTCCGATGAGGGCTGCAACTGTGTCAGGTCAGGTCCAAGTTCATTGCTCAAGGATGTCATGTAGCTTTCAGTCCTTATGGGACAAACAGTTCTGCAATGGTCCCTAATTTTCTCCTGTCTTTGCATCTCATACTCAGGCTGTCCCAACAACAGCTCTAGTTTTGGATGTGAAAGTTCTTCTGGAGGCTTCCAGGGCTGCCTGGAACTCATTTCTATTGGTGACAAAGTAGTGGATCCTATTGCAGTACAGCAGGGAGTGCTGGGGGCCTTCAGTGATCTCCAGATAGACTCCTGCAGCATCATAGACAGGTAAGAGCCTTGCTGGATCATTTTAGCATGTCTCTTCAAACTTTAAAGCTGAAAATAACATAGTCATATCTACAACAAAGATTAGAAAAACCCTTTTGCATCTCTCAATATTTTCAAATGACAGACCTTCATCAGGAGATACATTCTGGGTGGCTGTTCCCATTTTTGATTAACTGTCTCAGGATTATTTATGTTTTTTAATTTTTTTTAATTTTTAGATCTTACCAATGACTCACAAGACACACTATGTTTACAATAAGTTCTCACTTTGTTCTTTCTTTCCTAGTAGTTTTGGCTGTTCCTTGTGACTCTTCTAAATTTTAGGGCAGATTTTCCAGATTTGCAAAAAAGAAGAAAATAAAAGGTCATTGAGATGAGATTAGGCAGATCTGAGTAGTACTGACATCTTAACAGCACTGTCTTTTAAAAGCAGGTTGCTTAAACAATATGCCTTTAAAATTATTCAATAATTTTCAAGTATGTTGCCATAATACAGAAAGCTTTCCTGTCCTTTCTTTCCTTCTCTCTTGCTGCTCCTTTCTTTAAAAATTTCCACATTGTAGTAATCGAGCTTTAATACATTTCACTTTATGTATAAAATAATTTTTTTCTAACCACATACTGTTAGCGTTTTGATACTATGGATAGAAAAATAAGGTATGTTGAAAATTCAATTCTCATGTGCATCAAAACTCATTATCTAAAATTATTGTTATTCTTAGAAATCTTGATGGCAGACTCAGCACTTACTAGTCAGACTAAATTTTCTGTATATGCTACAAATCCATTTTTATATTTGTTTCACACTGATTAGCCAAGGGGTATAGCAATTGTGTTTGTTTTCTTGTAGGTGTTTGCCTAGCTACTGTGAGCATGGGGGTGGATGTACCCAGTCATGGGACACCTTCTCCTGTGACTGTGAGGGCACAGGCTACATTGGAGCAACCTGCCATTCCTGTAAGCTTCACAACTCAATACCCATGTCTTTGTGATTTCCTCGTTCTTTCATTATATATTTTGATAATTTTGTTCCGTTGTTCATTAGTTACGTTTATCTGCACATCTTTAAGCATGCAGACATATCAGAATAAGTATTGCAGTACCCAACTAATGTCTGGTTTATTTTAAGCATTTTATTTACTGTTTATTTATGTATTTGCTTCTTTGATGCTGCATATTAAACCTAAGCCTTGTGCATGGTTGACAAACGCTGTGCTTCTGAGCTACAGCCTCAGCACCTAACCTCACCTAATACTAGGGCAGCCAGAGAATACACATATAATATTAAGCAGAGTAAAAGTGAACCTTGTCATTCATAACAAAATAAGTCCAGTGAATAAGATACAGAACAGAGAGGTGGCTTGGGTAGGAAAGTGCTTGATGTGCAAGCATGAAGATGTGAGATTCCCACTTCCATATAATAGGATAGGCATGACAGTTTGCCTGAAACGTCAGTGCTAGGGAGACACAGACAAGAGGGTCCCTTGCCAGTCAGACTAAACAAATTGGCAATCTCCAGGTTGAGTGGGAAACCTCATCTCATAAAATAAATTGTAAACTGGATGTAGTGACACACACCTTTAATCCTAGCACTCAGGAGGCAGAGGTAGGTAGATCTCTGTGAGTTCAAGGCCAGCCTGGTCTACAAAGATACACAGAGAAACCCTGTCTTGAAAAATCAAAAAGAAAAGAAAAAAAAGAAAAGCACTAGATAAAAGTGTTACACCGTAAAGTTTTAGAAGAGACAATTAAAGTCTCTTAAATTGTGATTTTCTTTGGTAGAGATGATAATGAATCATGACATCTGTACTTAATGAGTTATTAAATATGCCTGTCTTTTTCTAGTGAGTTACATGAATTAGCTCTTTAAACTCCAGAGGAGCTTCAGGAATGAAAGACTATTATTACTTTCACTGTAAAAACTAAGAGAAAAAAAAAAGGTTATGCAGCTTAATGTCCAGCTAGTTGATGACACAGTAAGAATTTGAGCTAAGGAAGTTGTTTCCAGAATCTTCACTTTAGGATACCTTAAAGGTGAACCTTAGACAACAGCACCTGAAACAACTAGGAGCTTGTAACAGTTATAAACTCGCAGGTCTCCCCCAAATCTACTGAACTGGAATCTCAGAATGCGGGGATGTGTTACATCAGAAACAGATGAACAAATTTGTGGTTTTCTACCTCATTGGAAATTATTGACTAACAGTAAACTCACAAGCTACATTGGTTTCATTAACTGAAGTTTAGCAAAAAGTCCTGATTTTCCTTGATATCTGACTATTGGCAAACACAGGTTATTTTATTCCAGTCTTAATTTGCACATCAAACAGAAAATATTCCTATATATGTTATAAGTCACAGAATTGTTACAAAGGGGTTAAAATGTCATAACAAACTTCAATAAATCCAAATATACCTTACTGGGGGCAGGGGCAGAGGTTTTGTAGAGATGCAGAATGTTTTGATGACATCAATAAACAATGAATGCAACAGAGTGCTGTTGAAAGTCTTCAAAAGCTAGGTGCAAGCTCTGGTTGAGCTTCAAATACAAGGTACAGCATCTCTGGACAGTAGAGGCTAGGTGCAGGACTAGGCCCAGATGAACAAAGAGATAATGGATGGACAGATAGTGATTCAGGTAGGTTCCATCAAAATAAGCTAATGACCTATCAGCTCTATGCTTATTGGTCACTCGATGCACATACCAAGTGGCCAGGTAGTGGTCCATCTCCACGCTTAAGAATCCTCCTCTTTGTGGGGTCCATGTGAAAATATTGCGTCCTCCCTTAGCCAGGGATATCAAAGTTTTCAAGCCCCGTTTTTCTAATATGAGTCTAACATACCATTTGGCCCAATAGGCCTAATCTATTTTGATGAGTTTATGTTGTGGTACCTTTTTACTTCTAGACAGGCGATATTACTTACATGAACACCAAGGTTCAGAGGCATCCTGCCTCTGCATTTGAATTCAAGTGTTACGGTTAGAGAACTGGGTTAGGGCTAGAGTTTCTCGCCTCTGTGTTGTATTTGAGGGTGAAGCCTGAAGATGCTTGTGAAATGGAGTGGCTAGAGCAGGTATAGTTCTGATCTCAATAGCCTGTTTTAATCAACCTCACTTGTGCTTTTGATGGACATAGCAATGGGAGATTTCTAGAAGATGGCCTTCTATACTGTCTCTCCTTATTAAAAATCATCCACCTTGGACTTTCCAGATGACTCAGTGGGTAAAGTAGTTTTCTGGAACCTGCATGGGTAGAAGGAGGGAACCAACTCACAAGTCATCTTCTGACCTTTGCACACACAATGTGGTACATACTCAACACACAAAATAAAATACGTTTAAGAAAAAATTACTAAAGTAGTCTGTCTTTACTGAAGAATCCCTCTGCTTAAAGTCCAGATTATTTTATTAACCACCAGCTTGTTAAGTTAATAATTAGAACATGGCATAAGCTAAAACCTCATTTTTTCTACTTGTTTTAATATTTTCTTTTACTTTTAAGATATTTTTCCTGTGCTGGAAAGATGGCTCAGTGACTAAGAGCTTTAGCTGCTCTTCCAGATGACCTGTGTTCAGTTCAAAGCACTCATGTGGCTTCTCATAGACATCCAAAATTCCAGTTCCAAGGGATTAAATTCCCTCTTCTGACCTCTTGAAGCACCAGGTATATATGGGGTGCATAGATATGGGTACAGGGGAAACACCCATAAACATAAAATGAAATACAAATATTTTTCTTTCTGTTACCAATAAAAAATTATCTCTTGTCTCAAAAGGAATAGGAGATAGCTTATTCTTGAAGTAAATACGAGTAACCATGGCCCAGGAATCAGAGTCAGCTTGCATCCCAATAACATTTTCCAATATGGAAACAGTTTTGTGAATTTTTATACTTGTAGAACAAAAGGAAATCATAAATAAAGGAATTTTTCAAACATATTTTTGGAAAATCAGATAGGTGAGTTTAGCAAAGTGGGACAATCTCTGCTAAAGCTTTCAAGTATTACCTGATATCATTGTTAGCTTTGGAGCAAATGGAAGTTAGTGGCATTCCAATTTTACCTGATACTCATCAGATAAGGAAAAATGGCTATTAGAGACTAAAGATTAGATTGCCCAGGACGATTTGAGCACTAGTGCTGTATCTGAAGCATTCCAACATTCTACAGTTAATCTGTTAGCCTTATAGAATCTCTAACATAGGTAAAGCTTTGTTCTGGGAATTACAAATAACCCCACACATTTCCATGATGTTTCTATGAATATCTCCTTAGTAACAGTTCACTCATCTGAATTCTTTATGAAAGTGTTTCAAGACATTGTCTTAGTATTCTTTTGCAGTAAAGAAACACCATGACCATGGCAACTCTTATAAAAGGAAGCATTCAGTTGGGGCTTGTTTACAGTTTCAACGTTTTTTTTTATTAATATTTTTTTTTATTTTCCATTTTAAATTTAGATAAGAAACAAGGTTGCTTCTCAAGTCAGTACGAGGTCCCTCTCCCTTTCCCTCCCCTCCTCCCGTGCCCTCCCCCCATCCCCCCCCCGTTATCCCCTCATTCCCCCAGGGAGGGTGAGGCCCTCCATGGGGGTGTCCATAGTCTGTCATTTCATATAGGGCAGGGCCTAGACCCTTCCCCAAGAGTTCAGGGTGAGAGTGCACCTCACATTGTTCTATGGGAGTCCAGAGACCGTGTGTATACTTGGGATGGGTACTGATCTGCTGTCCAAGGCTCAATAGATTACCTAGGCCTCCTCATTGACACCAAGATTCAGGGGGTCTTGATCAGTCCCATGCTGGCTTCCCAGGCTGATGCCTGGGATTCAAGAGTTAACCTTTGTCTGGTCAGCTGTTTCTGGGGGTTCAACCAGCCCAGTCTTAATCCCTTTGATCATCAGTCCTCCCTCTCTGATACTGGCTTTCTTGAGTTCAGCTCAGTACTTAACCAGCCAGTAAATTAAGTTTCTGTTTCCCAGACTCTCTGGCCATAGGATTGTGGGCTGGCACTCCCCAGATCTATGTCTAAAATCCATATATGAGAGAGTACATGCCATGTTTCTCTTTTTGTGACTGGGTTACCTCACTCAGGATGGTTTCTTCTAGTGTCATCCATTTGCCTGCGAATCTCATGATTCATTATTTTTTTCTGCTGAATAGTACTCCATTGTGTAGATGTACCACATTTTCTCTATCCACTCTTCGGGTGAGGGACATCTAGGTTGCTTCCAAGTTCTGGATATTACAAATAAAGCTGCTATGAACATAGTGGAACAGACATCTTTGTTATATGAATGGGCATCTTTTGGATATATGCCTAAGAGTGCAGTTGCTGGGTCTTGTGGTAGGTTTATTCCCATTTTTCTGAGGAATCTCCATACTGCTTTCCAAAGTGGCTGAACCAGTTGGCACTCCCACCAGCAATGGAGGAGTGTCCCCCTTTCACCACATCCTCTCCAGCATAAATTGTCATTGGTGTTTTTGATTTTAGCCATTCTGACAGGAGTAAGATGGTATCTCAGAGTTGCTTTGATTTGCATTTCCCGAATGGCTAAGGATGTTGAGCACTTTCTCAAGTGCCTCTCAGCCATTTTAGACTCCTCTATTGAAAACTCTCTATTTAGTTCTGCAGCCCACTTCTTAATTGGGTCCTTTGCTGTTTTGGAGACTTGCTTCTTGAGTTCTTTGTAAATTTTGGAGATCAACCCTCTGTCAGATGTGGCTGGATTTATGTTGAGGTCTTTGATCCATTTGGACTTAAGTTTTGTGCATGGCGATAAACATGGATCGATCCGCATTCTTCTACATGCCAGTCTCCAATTATGCCAGCACCATTTGTTGAAGATGCTTTCTTTATTCCATTGTATATTTTTAGCTTCTTTGTCAAAGATCAGATGTTCATACGTGTGTGGGTTAATACCCGGATTTTCAATTCGATTCCATTGGTCTGCCTGTCTA